CAGTATCCGAACCATCATCAGCTTTAGATATAACAAGAACAGGTATGATTATTTTATTTGAATTTATTCCTAAATCTGATTTCATGATTGTTTTTTCATCTTGTTTACTTTTTGATTTAAGATTTGATTGAATTCGTGGAATTATTAATTGATTTTTAGAATCATCTTCATGCTCTGATGTAACTTCAGTAAATTCAGTTACACATATTTTTATTCCATCTGAATTACGTTTCCCATTTAAATTAGTTTCAATATCAATTAGATTAGTATCATAATCATCATTTTCACATCCATTTATTGATGATAATTGTTCTTTTACATCATCAAGAGCAATTATACTACTAGCATCATCTCTAAAACTACAATCATCACGATCATCAAGTTCATATTCAGAAACATTTCCATGAAAATTATAACCTTCTTCATTATCACCATAAGTTGAAAGAGAAGTTCTACTAGATTCACTAGAACTTGAATTTAAAGATAAAGTTGATGCAGAAGTACGAAGTAATGAACCCATAGTAGCAGGACGAGTTATATTTTCCGAATTTCTTTCCGAAGGTTCTAATAATTTATTATTACTATTAATTGATTCTTTAATAAATAATTTTCCAAACATTTCATGATTTCTTGAAGATTTTGATGATAAATTTGTCATTGAATTTGTCATTGAATTTGTAGATGATGATATATTATCATCTATTTCATTATCTCCAGGTGTAAAATAACTTCTTCGATTTTGCCAATAAGTTTTATCTTCCATTACTGTTGAACATAAATCTTTTTCTAAAATTTCATGATAACATAATAATTTACTTAATTCTAAACATGTATGTTTTAATAGAGATGCTATAAAGTTGCAACTTTAATATACGATCTCTTGTTGATGCTTTATATGGCATCATTAGAAATAAATTATTTCTAAATCGAATATCGGCTTGAAGTTATGATGTTAATGCAGAAATTTTATCCCGGAGTTCATTAATTTTCGACTAAAAAAGAAACAGTAAATGTAACATTACATTATTAATGATTTAATAATTTTTAATAATTTTTAATATGAATTAAAAAAATTATACATACACGAATCAAGTTAGTACGTCCTTGCGCTTCTTTGGCAGCATCATCAAGACTATACCCAAATGTTCCAAGACTACGTCTTAGGTGACCAATATTTGGATTTCGAATATTTCTCATTTTTAGACCAGCAGTTTTAAA